ATAGAGGGATATTGGTATCAGTTAGAGGTAAACAACTGAAGATAACGGTATCAAAATATTGATGGGTCTTCACTGGCAAATTTTACCTGGAATTTCTCCTTCAAGAGTCGGGTATGTTTCTCTGTCATAAAGGAATGGATGATAACGCAGCACACCTTCTACCACTCCTCCTGATTCAGCACGAGCACGGAATTCAAACACAGAAGCTGCTGTCCTTATGTACTGGGTCTGCATGTCATCATCAATATCTCGTAGTTGCATTCTCTTGGCCTGTTTACCTCTTTCAATCAGAGAAACCTATAATGAATGGTATCAAGCTCTGATCAATGTCATCCTCTAAACTGCTATATTCTAACAGCCTTAATTACTTGTTCCAATATATGTTAACTTCAAATTTTTCCATTGTTCAGTATTATTTAATTTTTTGAACAAATACATCTTTTATATCATAATGCAAATAACAACATAGTAAGTTTAAAACTTTATTAAGTGAACTGTAACCCAATGTATGTTTCTGTTCAGTTTGCTTTTGCACGGTTACAGGATTTTGATTTTATTCCACTTTGTTATTTCAAGTTATAATAACATGAGCAAGGCTGGAAAAGACAGTCCATTACAGGATCTCAGTCTGTGTCAAACAATGATCTGTTACTCTCATAATAGATTAAAATGTATTTCAAGTAAAATGGTTTACTTAGTCCAACACCATGGTTTAAAAAGAGCAACTGTTAAAAATAAGAAACATTCCCAAACAAACTTACATGAATATCAATATTCCTGAAAGGACTTGCAGTGGTTCCTCTTCCAACAGGCTTCTCATTTCCACGGGGACCATGAATGTAGTAGTGATATATGTGCCTTTAGAATATTATAGACATGACAAGATTCACCATGTGATCATGAGATGAAAACTGTGCAAGCTAAAGCAGTAGAATCAAATATAACTTATATCCCAACCATTTAATTATCCATTAAAATATTTTACTTACGCCAGTTGTCTGCACCATTGTTTGAAATGTGTCTTCAAATAAAGAATATGTTCTGGAGCTATTCCTGTAATAACTACTGCAGTGAAACTCTCCTTCTGAACCTCTTCCTCTACTAATTTCTTCACACTTTCTTCATCTTCTGGAATGTGTTGGTGATCTCCAGCCTACAAGAATTTTATTTCACAATATCATATTAATTCATGCTTTTAAGAGCAAATGGTTAGTCCTCTTTCAGTATTTTACTGATATAATTTAACATTTTTCAGTATGAGAGCTTTTGAATTCTTTCTGTTTAACTTACCCTCCTGTTGAGAATGGCTCCCCCATAGATGGACTGTTTCTTTTTTTCTCTTCTCTCAAATTCAGCTTGCGAAATACAAAGTTCATGAATATCACTGCAGTCTCTGGATTTAGTAATCATCTGAAAAACAAAATTTTTATATCCTGAGGATGTGAGGTAACAAGAAAGTACAAACCAATAGTCACCTTCAACACCTGTTATCAAATGTCTATGGGATGGAAACTGCTAAGTATGTAGATTACAGTTGTCTTGTGTATTTAAAAGAAAAAGTACAGTGCAATGTTTTAAAAAATAAATCATTAGTACCTATTATCACATATCAATAGTTGTACTAATTCAACAGTAGCATTAATTTCAATTGTTCAACAATAACAAGAATTATCATCCTTGATTATCTAGGAAACTACATTTCACATAATCAACTTGCTTTCATATCTCAAGGTATCATGGCAATCATTGCAGAAATGCCTGGTTTAGTTTAGTTTAGTTTAGTTGTTGTGACCTGACCCACTGCACTCATTCCAAGATATGAAGTAATTTTAAGCCTAACATAACATTTGTATCTCTATTATCACATCAACAATGACAACATTGTAGTAAAATGATCAAGTACATACCCTTGTGGCATCTCCAATAAAGAATATGGCTTGTTTTCCACCAACACCAAAGTAAGAAATATCACTGTTTAAAGACCTTGGCACATCTCCTACACTGTGATATCAAAGATTTACAATGTTCATGTTACAATACCCAAAGGTATTGGTGATTGAAACTGAAGTGAGCTTTGTATTGAATTGTTCACTTACACCTTCTTTCCAGTCTGGCGATTGAACTTTGACAGCCTGTAAATAGCCCAGTTGTTGAGTTCTTTTGATGTCATGCCAGCTCCATTATCAAGGACACACACTACAGCTTTTCCAACGGAATCATCAAACATCTAGAAAAGAAAAAAAAGTATAGGGAATACATGTCTGTATCATTAAACCATTCTAAGAGAAAATAAAGTGAGAAATTAACAAATACATCCCAAGTTGCTGTGTGTCTATTACCCAATAGATTACTGATGATATCAAAATATGGTAAGAAGATAAAAGGGGCATGTGAGGCACTGTTGAGTGTGTCACTGATGTGAAATATGGTAAGAAGATAAAAGGGGCATGTGAGGCACTGTTGAGTGTGTCACTGATGTGAAATATGGTAAGAAGATAAAAGGGGCATGTGAGGCACTGTTGAGTGTGTCACTGATGTGAAATATGGTAAGAAGATAAAAGGGGCATGTGAGGCACTGTTGAGTGTGTCACTGATGTGAAATATGGTAAGAAGATAAAAGGGGCATGTGAGGCACTGTTGAGTGTGTCACTGATGTGAAAGCAAGAAACAATATGAATTAAAAACAAGTGAATTGCCTGAGGTGCCAGAAAATGCTAGTCACCTAGTATTTGTGTTGGTTTTGCATCTTATTGTGTAATAAAGCATCATGAAAGCAAGCAAGGATCACTATTGAAATCAAATAGAAAATTAAAAAAAACATAAAAAAAGATTACACAGTTGTACAGCATGGTGGAACTTGAGACAACTTTAAAACATATTTTTTATTATCATACTAGAAGCCAAAAGCCATACCAATCTAATTTCAATTTCTCTGGATCCATCATTTTCTGCAGTAGCTGCCATAGCATTGTCTACAAGTTCAGCAAAGGCAAATGCTGAAATAAAGGCAAACAACACGTTAAGTCCAGAATACCATTGGTATCTCAAACTCATTTACCAATGTCTTTTTCTCAAATAAAAAGACAAAACAAAAAAAATATAAAAGAAAAACATTTACATTTCATCACATTTGGCCAAAAAAAAGAAATTCTTAAATCATGAGCTAAAGATCGCTAGATTGTAAAGAACTAAGGGGTAAAATTTCCGCACAGCCCCATACTATTGTAAAACAAATCTGTTTTCCCAACAGCAATGTATTGTTTTTGTCATTGTTTTCTCTATCCAAGACCCTAACCAATTTTACCAACAAAGGTAACAGTAATTGCTTAGGGTCAGGGTCAGTGTTTGGACTCTGCCTGTACTATAATTGTGATCATCATTATCAAAATTATTGCGGTTAGTATCATTATTATTATCATTATACTTGATAAAAACAATAATTACATTTATGAAAGATATTATGAGAAAAATGTAAGTCGCATTGAAGGTAGAGTCATTCCCTAACCCTGACTAAAAGAATAGAAAAGGAGTTTTTTATATATTCTACAGTTGCTAATTAAATAATACAATTTGATTATACTTACGTAATGGGTTTTGTCCTTCGCTAGCATAATATTCATACATGCCACTTTTGACCAAAGTGTCATAATGAGGGATATATTCCACCTTCTCCTCCGTTGGAGCACTCAGTTCTTGGTTGGACGATGTCAAGATATACAGTGTTTCATTACCATCAACCAACTCTTCTGTCAAATGACAAAAGTTAGCGGAAAGAGGTATGAACAAATGTCAGGTTACATTTTAAAAATTGATCTTACAGCAAGATGCAACGGCACCAAGTTCCTCTAAAAACGAGTTCAAAAAGAAAGTTGAATTTACTTCTGAAACACATAATCATCATTCAAGATGTTTAGTGTTGCAATACCATAAGTCCTGTCATCCAGGATTTCCTGTCGATTTGTTGTCACTATCACAAATGTTTCGTTTTCTGGGATATTGAAAGCCTGTAAAACAAATTTACATCTTTTAAATAGTAACAGGTTACCTGTAATTAAAATGACTTTCAACAACAATAGAACACTTTCAAAAAACTTCAAGAGTTCAACAACTTTAACTTACCACTCGGGTCTTTTCTTTGAAAGTGTTAAAATTGAATATGCCGCCTAACTGGATCTTCTCTTCCGGCCTGCTGCCAGCTCTACGATCATAAATAAAAACGGCTGCATCCTCGTCGCTTTGCTCGGAAGATGAAGTATCGTCTTTATTTGACGATTTCATTTCCTCGCCGGAAAAACTCACACAAGGACAATAATTTCAGTGCAAACTTCGTGCTCACGAGAGCTACACGCTTCCAAAACACTGCTGAAGAGTTTATTCTAATATAACGATTTTTGTAATTGGAAGAACGATCTATATCCAAATTTGGAGGCTGTTTATCCAATCAGAGCATGCCTAATAAGAGGTTAGCGCGAACAGGTCCCGGATAAGAAAGCGTGACAAAAAGGTTTCGAAGTTTTCTTTATTTAGGTTAAATAATGAAATGATGAAAAGAGCCATGAAGTCAATGTTTTTTTAACTTTTCAGCTCGAATTTTATGTTAATCTGAATAAGAACTTTGATACAAAGTAATGCAAATTTATTGTGTAGATTATATATATTACTGCTAACTTGAGAAAAAATAATGCTGTCCCTCTGATATTATTGACGACAAGCATTGATTGAAGAGGACATTTCTTGTCGAGAAAAAAACACGAAACTGCCCACAATGCAAAAAGGGATAAATCTTAAGAATTATTGCGTGACTTTGTGGAGAAGGAGGGAAACTGGATCGACTGTATAAATTCCCACGTGACTTCCTGTTCCTTCTCTCCGCCATATTGAATTTCGTGAACAAAAGTTCGGTCAACGTGGCCTCCTTCAATTTGTAATTTTTTACAAGTTGTAAGAACTCTGCTTTGCAGTTTTCCTTTTATCCTGAGCCTTTAACACTCACGGATAAGATGAAGCTACAAGAGAGCGGCTTCCAAGTGCCATCTTTTCTGCCTCGGTTATCGTACGAGAAGCAGGACACCTTACTTAAACTTCTCATATTGTCCATTTGTGCTGTTTTGTGTGAGTACGAAGATTGGTCATGCAATACGGTTTACCTAGTTGTGCAGTTTATTGGCTGTTGTTAGATCCTCGATCGAATATTGTATAGGGGTCATGTTATGGGAAAATATTGTAGAATTACTTTATTCAAATGGTACACGACTGTTATTGTTACGCTGGCTGAGTTTATGTAAGCTTAAAAAATTCAGACTCGACAGTCAGTCATTACCTGAAGCCGAACCGATCGCAAGAAAGAATGTGTTTGTCTGATTGTCAAAATCTAAATTATCGAGATATTATTTCAGTCATAAACCACGGAAGGTATCATGGAAATTTCACTCATGATCGTTCGATAATCAAGAAATTGGTCTAACTTGAAATGTGATTTGTTGTGCTCCTGTGTTCATGATTTTTTTTCTTCATGTCCACAGCATTCTCCACAAGGTTGTTCTCTGTGTTGCGGTTTGAAAGTGTTATTCACGAATTTGATCCGTAAGCTTTTTTTCAATAATCTTTTCGTAACTACTCATTCACGAAACAAAGAAGTAGTAGATACAGTGAGGTGATTGTTTGCTTAGCTGCAATTGTAGGGGGTTTTGTCCTAATAACCGTGATGTTTATGCGTCTTTAGTATTATTACATTAATTTTGAGAAACAAGTTTAAATCCTGAATAATTTTTTTTAGAGAATACTGGTTTTTTATTTCCAGGCAATTGAAAAAATGTATAAAATGTATAAAAATGATTCTTTTCATTAATGTGGATAATTTTTATTCTTATTGTTTTCCATTTCTTCATTTGTAACTTATGCGTCATTTGTATGTGCTGTTTTTTTGTTCATGACTAGCCTTTTACAAATTTTGGACTGGATCTTTTTTTATTAAACTTAAACTGAGAAGGGTCTGTAGGATCTGATTGATTTTATAGACAAGAATGTCTGGGCTTAATAAATAATTGCTGCTCTTGTTTTGCAGTTATTTTAATTATAGAACCACACGGTTTTTAGCTGAGGAAGGATTTTACAAATTTCACAACTGGTTTGATGACAGAGCATGGTATCCACTGGGTAGAATAATTGGTGGCACTATATATCCAGGTGATATGGCCTATCAAAATGTTATCTCTTTTGTTTCCACATTCCATCAGACACATCACATTTAGTAGACAAAGGTGCCTTTAAATATCTAGAAGATTTAATGAACAGATTTATTTTAATTATCGCAGGGCTCATGGTAACATCGGCCGTCTTGTATCACTTCATGAATTTCTTTCATGTCACAATTGACATCAGAAATGTTTGTGTTTTTCTGGCTCCTTTGTTTTCTTCATTGACCACCCTGGTCACTTATCATTTGACTAAAGAACTCAAGGTATGTAGTTCTACTGTGTATAGCTGGCCTGTCATTTTTGCTTTCCATTTGTCTTACTATTGTTTATTAACACTACTAAGTCATTTTTTTTTTTCAGCATATCTTGCTCAAACATTTAAATGACATGATTTTCCTTTATACTTAGAAATGTTCTATGTCACATCAAAATTAAGTTTGCCATTTAGAGTTGGGAATTAGGAAGATGTATTTTCCAATGATTTCAGTTTTTTTCTTTTAAAGGAAAGGATAAAAAACTTGCAATGTTTGAGTTTACTTTTTATTGGGTCAGCACCTACTGCTTTTTTTTTTAGCTATCTCTTCAAGAGTTTAATTGATATTTGTATTTACTGACAGGATGCTGGGGCAGGATTAGTAGCAGCAGCTATGATCTCCATTGTTCCAGGTACAATGGTTTCTGTTGTGCTTTTTAAAGAAACTTCTAAACTTTGGGATCACTTAAAAATCAAAGAAACATCACAGAACTTTTTTTTTTTCGTTTTGATAATTGTTTTAATTGTTTTCTTTTCAGGTTACATTTCTCGATCAGTTGCTGGGTCATATGATAATGAAGGTATTGCCATCTTTTGCATGCTGCTTACTTATGCATTGTGGATTAAGTCTGTGAAGACTGGCTCACTGTTCTGGTCAACCATGTGTGCTTTGGCTTACTTCTACATGGTGAGTGAATTAAATGCAACTTTTATAATAATCATTTATCTCCTCACTTCATTATTAATGTGTAATAAAGGAAGTTTATGTGTGTGAAGTCAAGTCACTTACTTGTTTCTGGAAACAAAGTCATAGAACCTACAACAGATTATATCATTAATTATCACAACACAGTAGATTGAGCTTTTGTTTTGAATTTCTATTTTTCAGGTTTCCTCTTGGGGCGGCTATGTGTTTCTTATCAACTTGATTCCTCTCCATGTTTTGGCTCTGATGATCACTGGCAGGTTTTCACACAGGATCTATGTTGCTTACTGTGCAGTAAGTACTTTCAGTAATGTATAGCAATGTCCTTAAGGAATATCACATTCAAATGGCCTTTATCATATATTCCAAGGTTGTAGGAAAATTTAGTCCTCTTAGGGAGCGCCATTTTCAGGTGACTTATTGTAACAATCTTTGACCCTCATGTTTATCTGGAGTCAAAAATTAAACATTTACACTCTGAATCTTCATTGTTTGCCTGTCATGACATTCTCCACTTCCAACCCCTTCCTTGCAGTTTTTATTTATTTACATCAGAATTTTCATGTTATGAAAGTGATCATTGTATTGTATTTTCCAATTTCAGGTTTACTGTTTGGGAACCATTTTGTCCATGCAGATCTCATTTGTTGGATTTCAGCCTGTACAATCCAGTGAGCACATGGCGGTAAGTATTTTTTGGTTATGTTTTCTTTTATCTGCGCTGACATTCACCTTTAATTCCACATATTTTTGCTCTTTACATGCAGGCCTTTGGTGTGTTTGGTCTGTGCCAGATCCATGCCTTTGTGGACTATGTTCGTGCACGTATGCCTAAAGAACACTTTCAACTGTTGTTCAAGAGTGTTGTGCTTGTTGCAGCAGTCGGTGTCTCAACTGTTGGTGGCATACTCACTTTCACTGGTAAAATCTCTCCCTGGACTGGCAGGTTTTACTCCTTGTTGGATCCATCTTATGCAAAGAACAACATTCCCATCATTGCCTCAGTTTCTGAACATCAACCTACAACATGGTCATCATTTTACTTTGATTTGCAACTCATGGTGTTCATGTTTCCTGTTGGACTCTACTATTGCTTCTTCAAACTCACTGATGCCAACATCTTTATCATAATGTATGGAGTTACAAGCATCTACTTTGCCGTAAGTGGAGACATCCTGACACGTACAATAAGATATTTAGATATATTTGTTATCAGCTTATCTGTAAGGAATCATAGATGTATGTCTATTTGATATTGCTCATGCAATTCGAACTCTTTAAAATTTCACTGGATACACCCAGCCTGTGAACAGTATGGTCAAACCTTCCTGTGAGTGTGCTTGTCAAGGTTTGTGTCTTTACTTAATTTTCATTGTTTTTCACTGAGTTTTTCTCAATATCCCTTGTGTTTTATTTTGGTTTTTTTTTCAGGGAGTTATGGTTCGTCTAATGTTGGTGTTGGCTCCAGTAGCTTGCATTCTCTCAGGAATTAGTGTATCTACAATCCTCACAACATACATGAAGGTAAATACAGTGAATGCCCAAAATAGCATGCAGCACTTAAATTTTTCTTCTTTTTTTTTTGTTTTGTTTTGTTTTGTTTTTTTTTTTACTTTGAATCATTTTGTTGTGTTAAGTAATTGAAAGCTTTCCACATTTATTCTACTTCTTCTCGTTATCAAGAATTTAGATGTTTCCCGCCGTGACCGTAAAACTGCAAAGAAAACCGACCCAACATATCCAATCAAGAATGAAGTGGCTACAGCAATGGTGGGCCTCATGTCTTTACTACTCATCACCTACACATTCCATTGTACTTGGGTCACATCAGAAGCTTATTCTTCACCATCAATTGTACTCTCAGCCAAACAACATGACGGCTCCCGAGTTATCTTTGATGACTTCCGAGAGGCTTACTACTGGCTCAGACAAAACACTCCAGAGGTAGTTTACCTTTCAGTTTGTTGTCAATTGGATAACCATAGTAGCAAATAGGGTTTGATTGTGTCATGGTATTTCTGGTATTAAAACAGCAACTTATATTTTGTAATACTGTTGTTGTGTTTATTTCAGGATTCTAAGGTGATGTCTTGGTGGGATTACGGTTATCAGATCACTGCTATGGCCAATAGAACTATATTAGTAGACAATAATACATGGAACAACACACACATCTCCAGGGTGGGGCAGGTATGTTCAAAATACTCTTATGGCCAATAGAACTATACTAGTAGACAATAACACATGGAACAACGCATGCCTCTTCAGGGTGGGGCAGTTATGTTCAAAACACTCCTATAGCCAATCCAACAATAATGCATGGAACAACACACACATCTCCAGGGTGGGGCAGGTATGTAAATATCCCAGTCCATATCTAGTACCTATAATCCTGTTGAGCGTGGTTTGTAGGTCTCGCTTGTGGACGACATCAACGCCTTCAATTAAGTTTGTGAACTGATGTCCTTGTGTGCTCATCATTTGGTCTGTCAGTTGAAGGCAACACTTAAACCTTGATCTTGAACTGATGCCAGGTTAGGTTTAAATGGTGAACTTTTCATGAGCTGAATCTCGTACTTTGATTTAAATAATTGAAAACAATGACTGAGCTGTTCTTCCTAGTTGGCTTATCCAGGAATTTAGAGTTCAGAATGGCTTTGTTCTGGCTCTGAACTTTCTATGTGCCAAACCTTATCTATGATTATTGTTATTAAAACATATTTAGAAACACAAATCCTGCACTCTTTCTCAGGGAAAGGGCTTTGATGGCTAATTGAGTTTAGTTTCTGAAACAACAGCCTTTCTTTTTGAGGTTGGGGTGGTCCAAATTCGAATCTAGTCCAGCCTATGAAAAGTTGGGCATCCTAACAGGGCCTTGGTTTTCAAGTGGTAGCCTCATTTGTGAGGGCATCTAGTTAATGTAAAGTGATCAGTTAAACTATTGTGGAACATTGCAGGCCATGGCATCAAGTGAGGACAGAGCATATGAGATCATGAGAGAACTGGATGTGAATTATGTGTTGGTTATTTTTGGTGGTTTGACTGGATATGCATCAGATGGTAAGAGTGCAGATAATGATTTGTCTTCACAACAAAATCCCCTTAGTTTTCATCCATTAAGTGCTATGAGAATTCTAAAATTTATTTCATTCCTTTTTGGCATCAGTTTGGCCCTGCTTGGATATGTTGTACACTCTTCAAACAACTGGATCCTTATAAGTGATTGTGGGATGTTTTTTTTGTCTTAGATATCAACAAGTTCCTGTGGATGGTCCGTATTGGAGGCAGCACTGAGAAAGGTCAGCACATCAAGGAACATGATTACTATACACCTGCTGGAGAGTTCCGTATTGACAGGGGTGGTTCCCAGGTCTTGCTCAACTGTCTTATGTACAAGATGTGTTACTACCGGTTTGGTTCTGTTTACACGGAGCAGGGTAAGTACCTACCCACCCACCCCTCCCTCTCTAATGCAAAGCTTGACTGTATTATGTATGTTAGTTTGGTTGAATCAACTGAGTTGTGAAAGTAACTTGACCACCATAAAGAGTTTCTAGAGCATTAGCCCTTCATCATTTGCTCTGGCAAAGTTCTAATGCTTGAAACGTCAGCTTTATAAACTATTTGTGATTGTCAACTCAGTCAATAAAACCAAATTTATCTCATAATACGCTCACCACTGCAGCTCCACAATTAATTTAGACACTTGGCCCATTTATTCATTTTAACTTCTATGTGACCTGAGTTAGACCCTAACTGCTGTTTACATTCATTTTGTTGACTTTTTTATTTGCTTAGGAAAACCCACTGGTTACGATCGTGTGCGTAATGCGGAGATCGGAAACAAGGTATGTCAGTCTCTAGCTTCAGTATTAAAACTGTGCACGATAATTTCTCAGCCGTGACTGTTATAGGTTGTATACAATGTCTGATTTATGCAACATGCAACCAATCATGCAAACATATCTTATACATCACTGGACTGTAATAAAGCACAGCACCTAATGTATAACTGTCAGGTACAACCATAAAACTCCATGACTTGTACAAATCAATTTTTTGTTGTTGTTGTTGTTTTTTTTTTTTGCTTGTAGGAATTCGAGCTGGATGTGTTAGAGGAAGCTTACACCACTGAACACTGGCTTGTTAGAATCTACAAAGTAAAAGATCTTGAAAACAGAGGTTCTTAGAATTCACAAGCTCACGTTTTTTAAATCCAAGTATTGCATTAGATACTAATGCCCATGTATGTCAAGGTTGTTAGTTGTTAGACAATTTCAAGCAACAAGTGAATAAAATTACAATTCCAAGTTTCATTAGTCGTTAAATCTATTTGAGGCTTTGTTTATATGAGGTAATTGATTCTTTGTATATTTGCTTCTTTTCTGGAAGTTTCTCAAAGCGTTCCCCAGTAAAAGCGTTATCTTTCCGCAGTAAACTTGCCCTATACTACCATCTCGCCAGGAGGCTTGGAAAATCCACTATAATAGAACACCTGCAGAGCTTCACGCGATTTTATATTATCAGGGTGTTCGTCAGTGACATAAGAATGGAAGGGTACCAATGAACTCCTTTTAAGGAATCTTTCCCCGGCCACTCAGGTAACCAAACGATTAAGCTGGTCAGTTTTTTCCAGGCTCTGTTCAGCAGGTCAGCTGTTCTGATCGGTGCCATAACTAAATGTGCAGCATCATGAGAAGGCCAGTGTGCATAACACGATACCAATACGCCATCAACAAATAAAGTGCCTTGCCTTGTTAAGGGGGCATACACACCTTTCATTGTCATATGTGTAATTTGTGTAACTGTGTCGAAAATTGGGCCGCTTCCATTCAGTATAAGTAAATCTCCCATTTTAATTTCTGAGGCGAAAACAGCGGATATAAATGACGTATTTGTTTCCTTTCTGAAAATCAGATGATGTGCGGACAACTTAATGCTGTTTCCTGTCTTGGTTTTGAGGTTGTAAAATTGTGCCTCAGCATCGATTTCCTTATGCAGAAAAGTAATAACCTCGCTGAACTTGCTCTCTCCATTAGTTCCCAGCGTCTGCACTTTGTCCCCGACTTTCAAATGACTCATCGGGATGCTCGCACCAGACTCCATCGTCACTTGAGAAATGGCGGGGAAACACAGGCGGCGCGGCTGTACACGGATTGGACGAGAAGACAATTCTGGAAAGTAGCCAATTATTAATGGTCACTGAATCATACTGATAAACCGAGAAATGATTAGAAAATTTAGTTTCACACAAACCATAATCCCCAAATCTGTAAACAAAGTTGGCTCCAGATTTGCCGACTCCATCTTCACAGTCCACTGATGAACCGTCCCGTCCGAAGGTTTTCTCGCCCCCGGGACCACTCCAACATTCCGTGTAGAACTGGATTCCAAAGACTTTGAAGCCTCTCTCTCGGGCTTTCTCAGCACATGCCATCACGGTCTTGTTAACATCTTTGCGATCGATAGTGCCTCGGAAGTTTGCAATAAGTTCCGGAAGAGGTCGTGGCTTTACGTAAGAGTCTCGGTAGCAGCCTACAGGGGGTGTTGTCCAAGAGCTTGCTACAAATTAAGAACCCTAACTTAAAGGTGTAAATTAACCGTTCAAAGGATTGGAAGAACAGATTAAAAAAAAAATGAACAAAGATGTAAATGCCAGTCGCGACGAAAACTTACAATGATTGGATGTGGAAGGGGCAGTTGTTGTTGTTAAATTTTCTTGAGCTTGGGTGGAATTACCCATGGTTCCTGAGGCAATCGTGGTAACATCCTCGGTTCCATGCGGCCATGGAAGCGGAGTGATGACAAGGCCAAGGGAACTAGTGCTAGGCCTTGTGGTGCTGATGTTCTGAGCGGCTGAAACAGGCCACGGTACATTACATCAATGGAGAAAAAAATGTATGAAACTACCTGGCAGGGCAGTGGTATACCTTACAATCGCGGCCCCGGAAATAAACTGATTTCAGAGTTGAGATCACTTATGTAATGCACCGTCTTCAGAGAGTTAGGCGTTAGTACATTGCTAACACGCAGAAGAGTTCCTCTGATCAGAGCGAGTTTCACCAGAGTATAGACAGTAAACCGGGACTGCTCTGGTTTTGCCTTACTCTCCTCTTTAATTGATCTAGAAGCAGTATTCCTGTCTCCACCAAACAGATGTAAAATGAAAACCTATCGCAACTTAGTTATTTGGTGTTTCCCGTGCCGATGTTATCTTTGCTTGTTTTTACACCGAATTCTTAGGGGGTTCCATGGGATGTTATCTTTTTCTCTAGATTGGCCAGAGGTTACTTTGATTTGGACCTCTCAATCGAAAAATGTACTGTATAGCCTATGAAAAATATGGGCTACCTAATTCTTACAAATACTCACCTGCGTTCCATGGCACCAAATGGATGAGGAACAAAACATTAAGACAATTGTAACTATTCATTTGATTCCCGTTCATCCAAGTTTGATAAAAACGCCGAAAGGACCGCCGACTGAATTTAAACAGACATATTAAATATCATTTACTGTAAGACTCAAGTAAGAGATTTCCCTATAAAAGCCCAAGAACGCGGATCACGATTTCTCTTTCACTAATTTAACCACTTTCCCAAGTCTTTGTTGAAGAGGAAAAAAAAAAAAAGTTTAACGACTGAGTGATTCAGTAAAATTTGGGACACTAATACCTCTTCCATCCAGAGTATCTAGAAACCGTATCTTATTATTATTACTACCGTGATCTGCCATCTCCTTTTCAAATGACAATACTTCGCCCGTAACTCACACTGTTGTTTGGCCTAAAGATATCAGACGTACTTACCTTAAGTGTTATCTCCACTAAATGTCGACAACTCTCCTGACAATGGAAGCTGTGACTCCTCTCTCAGCATGTGGCAAATTATCTATTTGTTCACGCCTGTTGCGCGCACTTCTGATTTGACTGACGCTTTCATAAGTATATATTGTAACCAATATATTACCAATAATTTATATTCATTTTCACCGAAAGCTCCTCTTTCGAAAAATTCTGCGGTCTAATTAAAACCAATTCTAATTTATTTCGTACTATCGAATGTTCTAATAGTCTACAGTAAAACCTAAAGCCTCTTGTTCTTAAATTATTCACATACATATCATGTAAAACGAGACGATTTAAAAAAACAATCAATTTGAAAGAAGTTGTGATTTCAAGTCGATCTTCCAAATCGTTATTGAAAGAGGTTTATAGGAAAAACTTCTTAATATATCGTTGATGAGCTTTTTTTTGCCGCCTTAACCCAGTGTAAAGGGAGCGAAGAACTAGGGGAAAGGAACTCGTTCAAATGCTTGACGCGATCTAGATGAAAGTGGTACTTTTAGTTTTGGGGGGGGGGGGGGGGGGTAGAAATGGAAGAGGAAGCTATGCTCTATTTTTCAACTCTTCAAAACGTTTTGTATTGAACGATGCATTATTCCCTGAGCACAAGAAGGTGACAATACTCGTTTAAAACATTTCTTTTTAAAATAAATTATTTAAATTGATTCCAAACAGACTTGATAATTTGCGGTCTGTGCTATTCAAGCCTATGAGGATAAGAGATGGCGAACATACTGAGATTTAAGAGCAGTAGTGCAAGAAAACTGTAAGAGAGTTCACAATAACGTCGACACAAACAGCAGCACCGTCAGTCAACGCTATGGGTGCTAACAGCTTTAATTCATTCCACAACACTTTAACTTACAAGATGGCTCCATTTTTCAAATCCAAAATTAGTCAAACATTAACTTCACGAACAGTCCACTCAGATATAGAGGCGTCTAAAAATAGACCAGGTACTACCCATTGATCAGTCCAACTTGTTTACCAATTCATTTGTAGACATTATATAGCTGAACTTTAGTTTACAGAACAAGGAAAAGGTTTTGAGCTTGCTCACATCCACTGAGAAAACTAAACAGAATAAAAACTAATTGAAGGACTATGAAAGTCAAATTTTCCCTACGCAAGGATTCAACGCTCCTGGCCTTCATTCAAAATCTCAAGCTCTTCTGCGTTAATAGTAAGTAACCAAGGTGACTATCAAACCAAGCTTAACCTTCATTTATATTTGAGTGAACTATATCCCAGATCGCTATCAATATAAAAGGTACTGAACATCAAGTATCTCAAGTCTTAATCAAAAGCTTATGTAAACAGAGTAACTTAATTAAAACTGAGAGTTTTGCAGATCTTCTTTATGACCTATCCAAGCCTTAGTGATGAAGGAAACTTTGAATTCAAAATTCTTTTGTTATCCTAAAGAAGTTCAATTTATCTTCAGACATTTCACACACAGCTAAACAGTACATCACTGTATCACTGTATATGCTACTACTTGTATCAATTGTAAATTAAAAAACAAAAACAAAAAGCAGTATCGAACATGAATAAAAAGGTGATGTTAAACAATTTTTTAATTTATTTATCTACAACAGATTAGAAAGCAAATCTATGTACTTTGAAGTTTACTTATTGTGTGCTTTAATAACTCCCTTAACCCTTTAGCTCTCATGAGTGATTAAGACAGAATTTCTCTTTACAATATTCATACAATATCTTGCAGAAAAGTATTGAGAATAAAGAAAAATACCAACTAGGGGATTAAAACTTGATCCAATACCAAACTCTTCAAACTAACATCCCAAGAACTGTATGGCAGACAGTAAGGAGAATTACAAATGAGATCTTGGGAGTTAAAGGGTTAATATAAATTGTGAAGCAAAACAGTGAGAATATAACACATGTATTGTTCAAATTACTTCACAAGTATTAATAGTGTCAGTTTTCTCAGTGAAAACCCAAATTTAACTGTAATTTTACAAAGCTGCAGTGGATGTCTGCTCCAAAGCATGGGTTGTTTAATGTCCAAAGTCCCTGTCTGGGAGCAAGACTGGGGCTAGCAAAGTCCAGAGATAAAGAGCAAGACATGCCCAGCTGGAGCTGATTTTGACCCACACAGTGGCCCAGTTACTAGTCAAGGTGGTAAAGTCAGAACCCTCTGGGCTGAGAAAAAAAATACAGATATATAAATCAATGGAGTGAACAGTCAGGCTTTTGGCTGAAAAAAGAGGAATCAAAAGAAAAATGATTGAACTCATCCTTAGACAGGATATTGAAGTCATTGCCTTTTTTTTAGTAAAATATCATTAACAGAGAAATGACAAACTACATAACTGTGTTATGGCTATAGCAATGAAGTCAGAACCCTCAGGACTGAACAAACATTACAGGAAAAATGAAGAGATAATAAACAATGTAACTGATGGAGGTATTAACCTTAGTTACTGAATAAACAAGAGAAAAGCTCACAGATTCATAATGTAAACAAATTACATGGTGTACATACCTGTACCAGTTGGTAAGTGTCATCATAATATACAGTGAGGCCAAGGTGAAGGTCAAGTGAAAGAAACTGTAGTTATAAGTCACAGCTGTGCTCTCATCATCATAAACACGCTGGATTTTCACCCTGTTTTCATCATTTGTAGCATTTCCACTCTCCGCATCTTATGAGAAAATAGAAGGAAATAAGAAAAGGTAGAGAATTTCAATCAAAAAAGAACCTGAGGGACTTAGAGAAAAGGTGGAAACAGAACAGCTCACAACCTGGTGGAAAAGGAAAAAACAGCTCACAACCTAGCTGAGGATACCACTAATTTGATGTGTAGGCATCTCAGCCTTGGTTGTTGTGTCTATGAACTAAAGTTACATTCATTTACAAATGATTAATTCTGAAATAAACCCTACATCCTCCTATATGTCTAGAGTCGATTCAGCCTTTCTAAAGCTGTCATTAAAAACAATTCACTATGCTTAATTTTTATTTCCACACAGCAAAAAAAAAAGAAAAATATGGCTCAGCACCAACCTTGAGAGTAATCTGGAAGAAGTGTCTCCTAAAAAGATTGATATAAAGAAAGTAATCAAAATATCATCCAGACCCGATGACAATGAGTTAATCATCAGTTAATCATTCCATTTTTGTGAGACTTTTGTTTCATACAACAAGGCATTCTCTGTTTTCAGATATTCTGCCATTCTGCTGTTCCACCACTCCTTCATTCCATTGAACAGGGTCTCCTTGTAAATTGAAAGTATCATCTTTTGCAGCTTGCTTGCTTCCCAAATGTGGCAGCTCTTTTGAGCATAAGTCAGTAATTCAAACAGTAAAATGCCCCCATTTCACGGAAAACGAACATTCCTCAACTTTTCCATGATGAGCAGATCATTTATGCAAGCAAAAGTTTTGATTTAAATTACGGGTCAGTGGATGCCACTGTAATAATTTTGAGATGATTGTCCTCAAATGATTGTCCTTATATCTTCAGATCTACTAGACATAATTTGCTGATTCAAATGGTAAAATGCTCTCTCTTCTGAGGAAAAAAAAATTTCCTGCATGTCTACATGATGTGCCAATCACCTCTCGAGGTATTTCTGCAAGGAAAAGTTTTGTCCAAAATTTTAAGCCATCCTCAAATGATTGTGAGATGTTTCTTGTCTTCTGTTTACCTTCTATAGTGTCACATCAACAACTGAAAAAATTAGAACCTGGGTCTTTTGGGCATAAAATAATGTGTTTCACAAGGCACTCCTCTTTCTTTGGATCCTCCAAAACAAACAACTAGTGACATCAGATCAAATCATAAGAAGTTTGGTATTCTATCATTAGTGTCACTTGCTCCTTTCAATAACATAATATTATGTAGCTTTCCCTCCTATGGGAGCCAGTAGCCAAAATAAACAATTAAAAACATAACCCACAAACCTCCATGCTGCTACTGGCTGTGAGAGGGTTTGAGCTGGTTGTTTTTAAACTAAAAAAAACAATCAAACAAAAAGTTACAAAATTCAATATCGTTTGGATTAAAAAAGTGCACTCCATCAATCTTTCCAAGCAAATGAGACTCAGAAAAACACTAAATAAATGATTCTTTGTCACATTTAAATCTCAGGGCTATACTAAACCTTATTGCAAGGAACAAAACTAACAATTTATACTAAAAAAATTAAATAATTCCCTTGTTCTTTGTTAGAAATTGTTGAATCAGGCCTTGCCCTCATCACCTATCACACAATAGAAATTTTGAGCTCACAATCTACTAATTAATCATAAGTCATGGTAAACTTCCTTACATACCAAGAGTACACAACCATAACAAACATCAGCACTGCAGCAATGACTGTCCTCCCATTGCCTACCCCGGGTGCCAGATTATCACTGGAGATAAGTGAACCACTTGGGTTACACATGCCATCTAGGAAAACAACAAAAGACAACTGTAACAACATGAATTACAACAGAAGATCAAGTGTTAGCCTCAAACCTGTCTGTGTCCATTATAGGATGTGCTGATTGTGTCGAGGGGAAAACAAACTGATTGTTAAAATACAAGTTATTTGATATCATCTAGCACACAATGTTTGGCATCATATGTATTGTTAGTTCAAGTCAAGATCAGGAAGAGTTAAATGTACTGTGCAAGAAGAGTAGATCCATAGAATTGTTGAGTATTTATCAAGTAGCACCATACCAGGTTCATTGGACATGCCAGACCAAGTCAGATACATAGTGTACAAAGTAATAACGGCTGCCTGTAACAGACCAGAACTGGGTTGACCTGGTACAGAACCAAAAATTAGCAATCAAATGATAAGACATGTTGTTGTATACCTCAACATTGATGGAACCAATTCTGCTAAGAAAGACTTTTCTTGATGTCTTCCCACATTATTTAAATAGATGGAAAAAAAATCAATCAGTTTTGATACAATACCTACCAGTTACAAGTATATTATTTTAAATCCACTAAGAGCAAAATGTTTTAAAGCCTTAGGATAATTACTCTTGCTTGTGGTTTTCCTTTCATCTTGAACTCAATAACATCTCTAAAGGCAGAGAGTGGTTCTTAACTTACATTCCTGAACTTTGGGATGAATTGCAACCATAGAGACCAGGAAACATAGCACAAGGTTTAAGCTGATAAAGAACTTGTTGTTCTTGCACCCTGAAGGCTGGAAACAGAAATACATGTAAACAATAAAGGCTAGCCTCCATGTTTCATGACAATTAAAACTACAAGTGGTTCATTTTAAACTCCTTAATTCAAAGTACAAGATTTGTGACACAAATACTTAAAATCTTCCGTATTAGTACATTTCAATTAAAGCAAGACTAATTGATTAGCAGTACCTTGATGGATTTTTCCACATACCTCTGTGAAAAACAAGAAAAAGCAAACAACAGCCCCAATTGCCAGAACATATATCCCACTGGTGACTAATACGAGAGCTACAACCAAAATGAGACACAAATTAATATTGATGACCTGTCAAAGAATTAATAAGCACTTTTCCTATTTGATCAGAATTCTCCCTTTAAGTGTACTTACCCCAGTACCACCTTTTATTTCCTGTCGTCTCATACTTCTCAACCCTTAATATCAATAAAATGAATTGCTTCAGTCTTAATGTTAAATTTATAATCAAAGGCAAGCTGGGAAACTTGCACTGCCAAGCAGAGACTATAATTTTGAGCAAATAACATCAAGGGTTTCATTGTATTTTTAATTGCTGGGCCATCCTAGTGAAAGCAGAATGAAAAATAATAGAATTGAACTCCTGGGTGACCCATGATAAGGTAGGCATGTATTGGCACTTAAGTATCCTGGTGTTGGTGTGATAGTCCTGCCCTCCAATGAGGACACTTCAACATGGCAATTTGATTAATTTATTGTTGAAACTCGACTAGAATTTCATGAAATTTTTGCAGTTAAAAGCCTCATTACCAATTTCTTGCCTTGCCAAACTCTGATGGAAACAAACAGCCAAACATAACTGGTCACGCAATTTAACTTGTCAGCAAGTAGAACAAAGACTTTGACTGTCTCATTCATGTACAATCATCCTTTCATTACAGTTTTTGTGACACAGAACTATTGGCATAGTTTTTGAAGCAAGTGGAGTTGCAAAAAATTCTAGTTTTAAGTAGTTTGACACATGCATTATATCAGTCAGTAAATCTTAAATTAAATTTAATAGTAGGACTGAGGACACTGATAGTATTTCTGTTCATTTTCAATAAGTCAAGCCCTTGTTACATACCAAGATTCACTCCAGTTGTGGGCAAAATCAATCAGTAAGATCAACTGTAGCAAAATAAACAGGTAGCCACCAACCATTCCAATATACATCCATGCTAAAGACAAAGTTTACAAAGTCAGAACAACGAGTATTCGTCCATAGACATTTAGAGAACAGACCCAAACAAACACAGCTCAATATGCACATATAGGTAAATATTTACAATGAGTAGAATAAATATGTACAGTAAGTATAAATAATTGAGTTGAAAAAACATGAAAAGGTGAAATTTGCACATCTGAAGAAGTCAAAGGTTTGTGAGTTTATAAAATTTCAGGTAAAACCAAGATTGTCTGATACCCTGCACAAAACATCACAAGTACTTATTGACCAGGTGGGAGGGCTGCACAGGAAAACCCTTGGCTCAAGGTCATTACATGTTGAAATTTTGAAAATTTTGTTTCAACCTAAATAGGAAACGATAAATGGGCATTAGTGGGGCAACCTCATAAAAGATTCTAAAGGAAATATTTTTCTTTGTTTTGTTTGGTTTTTTTCAGAACAACAGAAACACACATTTCATCAAAAAAAAGTGACTTTTTTTCATCTCTTTTCTTTTTTCCTGTAAAATTTTGTAACAAAGCTGTGTAATTACAACCAACAGTTCTGAAACTATTACACTGATCTCCAAGCTGAAATACTAAGGAATGTTTTCTTGAGTCTGCTGATAAAGAGTTTACCCAGTATCACGGATATAGCAACAGACATGACCAGCCATATTCACAGAGATTTATAGAAAAGGAATTTGTACAACTCTGCCGACATCAAATCTGGCTGGAAATTGGTTTATATACTTAGAGAGATGCAGAGGTTAGCTGTAGAAGAAACTTAAAGGCCAGTTTCACACAAAGTATGTCTTAAAATTCAATTGTTGCAGCCCAATCTACTCTACTGTGTATCAATGATGGTTTTATGTGACCTTGCCGGCTACAAGTCACAAAGGTTGTGTTTGTGGTCACAGTCAAACTCTGTATAAACAAGGTTACATTATCTGATATTTACCAACTCCAAATTTTCCTTTAGGAATGTAAAATGCTGCGACTATTAGTGCGATAACAAGAACAATCTTGATAAGCCAAAACCTGAGAAATAAAAACATCAGAATAAGAAAGATCCATCCTAAGATTTAAATTCAGATTTTAGCTGTTCTTAATAGTCTAAGCTTGCCAAAGAGGAAAATAATCACTTCCTTGTTAACACTGAAACCGTAATTTTCACTTTTGTTAATTAAACAGAAAACAAGTTAGAAACAGTCACACCACACATGAACAAAATGAGTGCTCCTGAGTATAATTATCAAAGATACCACAAGGAATATGACCAAACTCCTAGAAACCCTTTGATAGAAAAAGTTCTAGTAGATAATATGGCTAGTTGTTTTAATATCAAGCAAGTATTTCCTCCTACTTGGACATTGTCCTTGAAATTAATTGCACATTATACATTTAAATCACAAGTATAAAATAGTACTGTAAGTATTAGATTGACTAACTCACCCATTTTGAAATTTGGCCCTGGGATCACTGCTATTCTTGACTTTAAACATCAAGACTGCCATTAAGAGGAAGAATGCTGCCATTGCAAAACACACTCGATACACTGCCAAATATCCCACCAGACTATTACAGTTTGACTCTGGAACATGATCACAGAAACGTGGAATTTTCTCCAATTTTTCAACAATGCCAGGGGCAAGCATGACGGCAGACAAGACTGTTCCCAGGAAGAGAATTATTGTGTAAACAATCCTGGATGCTGTGGAGTTTTTGCATGACGGACATCGAACACAGCAACAAAAACAAGCTGATGAGCCACAACAACACGCCGCCTGGAGGGATTTGACACAGTTTTCAGCAAAAAAGAAATGGAAAGTCAACCCTTTGGAATTTTTTACAAGTTATCTAAAAGGAAAATCGTGCTGAATTGTGACATTCCAGACTCAATATCTCTCACCTAATGGTGAAATGTACGAATGCATCTGTACGATTAGCTGTAGTCATAACTTTTCGACAAGAGCTTAGTCAATAATTTGTCAAATATTGCCGAGGCAATCGTATTTAAAAAGTATAAGTAATTAGCCTCTAAATTGCATAGGAAGAATGGGGGTAAGTGAAGAATCTGTAGTGAACTATTGAGGATGTAAAAGTAGGGTCATCAGTCCTGAAAATCTTGGTTTCTACCAAGCTATCGGACTATACCATCTGGAAAACATGGCGGACTTAGAAGTTACTTACCACTGGAGCTAACGAACTGGCACAAGAGGCACACGACGAGAAAGCAGCACAGCTTCCTAAAGCACCTAATACAGCTCCCATTTTGTGCTTAAAAACGCAAAAATCTTCTGTGATCAAAAAGGAAAACTCGTCTGCTGCGATAGTACTTTGAGTATCTGGTTATGACGTCACTGAGCTGCAAAAATCAAGCAGTGGATTGTGGGTTAAAAGGAGTTTTCTTTGTGCTAAGTTTTCGTTAAATTTATGTTATCTATCCAATTTGTCGTATTTAATGCCTTATTGAATATCTTAAATTGTTGGCACGTTACTTGTTTAAAAAAATTTGACACATATTTCCAGAAGATTCGAAAAGGTATAGAAAACACTTTCCTGAGAGCCCGCGATTTAATCTGCTGTACAACACAGACAGGTGTTTTTGAAAGCGTTGGAAAACACGACACAGACATGAACGAAGACATAGAAGATGACGGAGGGGAAATTCAAACATTTCTTCATCAACATCACGCTGGCTGCGTCTTATCCAGGCTTCACGATCTGCGGGAAAGAGAAGAACTTTGTGATGTTACACTTGTGGTGGAGGGAAGAGCCATCCAGGCTCACAGAGCTGTGTTGGCGGCGTCTAGTCAATACTTCAACGCCATGTTTACAGCTAAGATGAGTGAAAGAAATCAGGCGACGGTAAGGCTAATATTTGATTTTAATGGCTAATTGTTGCTTGGGGTGATTTGTGTGTATAAGGTTGGTCAACACATCTCCATCAACTTTTCATCTCAGACGGTGTGTTTGTGGGAAAATTTTTTACTAAGAACAAGACATGAGCATATTGTTAAGAGCCCGAAGTCTTGTTTTGTGATATCAGACTAAAAAATTAATTAATAGCTGGCGGGGATACTCCTGTATCCTAGCAACAACCGAGATTATGAAGAAGTTTCCAATACATTTAGCTTCAAGTGTGTACGGGTAATGTTACAGTATAATGACAAAGTTAAATGATCATAAACTATAAACATAGATAATGTATTGTAGCAGACAATGTGAAATCAACACAGAATACTCCTTGCTGCAAATTTAATTTATCCATTTTTATTGAAGGTGGAGATCAAGGGGATTGATTTTGTGTCAGCAGAAACTCTCATAAACTTTGCCTACACATCACAACTCACAATCACTGACTCCAGAGTTCAAAATCTATTTCTGGCTGCAGATCTGCTTCAGTTCAAATGGGTTAAAGACTCTTGCATTCACTTTATCATGCAGCAAATAGACATCACAAACTGTCTGGGTGTACGAGCACTTGCTGAAAGACATTCCTGCAAGGCCATGTATGAAGCTGCCACGTGTTTTGTTACTGAGAACTTTCTGAAAGTCTCTCAAACTGAAGATTTTCATAATCTCAACCTTAATGAAGTGCTTGAGTTAGTGAAGAGAGATGATGTGAATGTGTCTGATGAAATAGAAATATTTAAAGCATGCATGGGATGGATTGAATACAACACTGTGAGCAGGAAGCAACACCTTGCTGAATTTTTAAAGGCAATGAGGCTGCCTTTTATTCCTGTGAAAAATCTTCAGAAACATGTGAGTGGACATGATTTGGTGAAACATGATGTTTTTAGCAGGGATATAGTTGAGGAAGCAGCAACATTTCATTTTGAGCATGCTGGGATGAAAATGAGAGACTCATATGCTGAAACTGTGTACATACTTGGAGGAGAAACATCATTCATGAAAGAAGTAAAGACTGTTGAAAGATTTAATCCAGAGAGTACACAATGGGAGGGAGTAAAGTCTATGACTGAAGCACGAGCATCATTCACTGTGGCTACCTTAGAGGGTAAGTTGTATGTTATAGGAGGTTATCGTCGTGGAAGGAAGCTGAACTCCATGGAGTGTTATGATCCAGCACAGAATGGCTGGGTCAGTTTACAGCCAATGAGCAAGTGTCAAGGTGATGTGCGTGCTGCAGTACTCGATGGCTTTATTTACGTGGCTGGAGGATCCAGTGAAGGTCTGCTGACATGCAGGTAAGGGGAGTTATGTTTGAATGCAATTTTGTGGGGAGGTCATGTTTTAAGCTGTAATGTTTTCATCAGTGGTCTGTACAAAATGCAGACTGCAGACTGGGCATAAAATGCAGACTGAGAATTGAAACTCTTTTTTCACCTGATATATGATAACACATATAAGTATTTGTGTAGTCACCAAACAGATGAGAGATAAAACCACCGGAAAAGTAAACAAATAGCCAATCAATGAAGGAACAGTTTTAGTCTCAGTCCTCATTTTTCAACAAAATAAACAATTGAAAAGATGAAGAGTATGGACCACCTATAAAACTGTCAATTGTTTCTCTGATGTTGCATATGCTAATTAATCAATACTGACATGCTGCATGCAAAGTGAGAAGACTATATTAAGGCTTGAAATCCTATTAAGAACAACTGTGGCCACTTTGTTAGAACAACTATGGCCACTTTGTTAATAACAAAAAATATATCAGGAAATAGGTAAGGAATATTCCACAATAGTGCAAATGATCATGAAAGATGATCATGGAGTGGCAATTACCTGACATGTGGTAAGTTATTAGATGACATGTTGTCACATATCAGACAAAAATGTTTAAATTCTCAGTATGCATTTTGTACTTGGTCTGCATTCTGCTGTCTGCATTTTGTACTGACCATTTTAATCACTGAGTTTTGTTATCTAAAGTTAAATTGAGATAAATTCTTCTTATATGCTATTTTAAACTCTGTCATTTTCCTTTAGAAAATCTGAGAGTATTAACCCTTAACAGTCTGACATCAGTATGGATATTCTCCCTACTGTTTGTGCCATTCCATTCTATATTCTATTTCTGAAGACCATTTGATTATCCCAGGTCACCCATGGGAGTTTGAAAAGAAAAAAAAGACCCTTGGAGCACATAGTATAGCTTGATGATTGTGTATGCATAAAAAGTACCAAACCTGCTTTGTGAAATGTTCCTAACATTAACCACAGGTTTACTGTATCCAAAAAAAAAAAATGTATACATATATCTTTCCAAACTTTACCAACCTGGAATCTTTGAATTCTACATTCACCAAAACTTTTAATTGTTTCCTTAGTGGTATCAAGTTAAAATACCATAAAGTAAGAAGTCAGTTATGACTAACCTTGACATCATCTTTTCAGTGATGGTAAATTTTTTTGTAACATAGCTTTTTTTTTTTCTAACAGCTATGTGGAGCGGTATTCACCCTTTGCGGAAGGATGGCAAGTGGTTGCTAGTATGCATCGTCAAAGACGTCGCTTTGCTCTTGCTGTGCTTGACACTCATATCTATGCAGTTGGAGGATTTGATGACAGCAGAGGGGATCTTAAGCATGTGGAATATTATGATGGCAGCACAAATACATGGACAGAAGTGAAGCCTATGCATTGTTGTCGTTATGATTTTGGTGCAGTGTCATTGTCTGGTTTTCTTTATGCTGTAGGTGGTGCCAATGGCAGGAGAGGTTCATTGAATACTGTTGAACGTTTTGATCCAACTATGAATGAATGGTCAATGGTTGCCCCTTTGAAGCATTGTAGGGGAGGTGTGTCAGTAGCTGTGCACTGTGGAAAGATTTTTGCAATGAATGGAATGAATGAATACATGTCAATTGTTGATTCTACAGAGTGCTACAATGAAGTACAAGATAAATGGAGCAGCTTAGCTGCTTGTACACACACAGCAAGATTCAGTGCAGCAGCCATTGTCTACCCTCCTGTAATTCAACTGCATGTTAAAAGTCTCCATGGGTCAGCATGTCATGAACAACAATAAGAACACTCATACTGGATAAGATCAATCTGAGGTCCACCATGGCTGCTAGGATATTAATACCATTCATGATAAATAAAGATTGCTGAAAAGAGTTGCTTAAAATCTGTCAATCCTGTGTAGTAATAATTCAATTACCTAGTAAGTGGAGTTGAGAATAAAAGGAAAATTAATTGCCTCAATAAATAGACTAAAAGCTTGTTTTCACTGGATACATAAGCACTATCATCTAATCAGATTTTTCAACATCCAGATAATGGCTTGTAGTTCAGAGTTGTTGGAGTAAAGTGTAAATAACTAGAAACCTAAGGAGAAGCACATAGATCAAAACATTTTGACCAGTATGCTTTTAATTGCTTGACAAGGTTCTTTCAAACTTCTCAAGAATATCAGATGTTTGTTTAGAAATGTCAAGCGATTCAAAAAATTAATCTAGGCATTTAGTCTACTCTAGTCATTCTAAACCGAGCCTGGCTGCCAGGCATTTAGTTACAGTGAATATTATTACCGATAATCACCTAAAATGACGCCCGAAAAAGGTTAACTTCATTTCTTTATTTTTTAGAGTATACTAAAATCTACCCACATTTGTGGGTAACTTTTTAAAGCTAACTTTCAAGCTACACTTCTTTGCGGATGTTAGAATTATTGTGAAGAACGAAAAATACCGCTTTTAATTAACGTTAACATAAAAATTATAAAGAAACTGAGATAACAACCTTAGAAACTTAGGTAGCAACTTGTTGGATTTTTGGCAATTTTTAGCAATTTTTGGCATTCCACACAGCAACTTTCCAGCAGTTTATGAACACAATCGGGACAGGCCTAGTCGGGGTGGGGTGGGGTGGAGTGGGGGTTAATGGTAACAGGTAAAATTGAACCATGTTGAAGAAATAAATAACACTTTGACATCAAGACTGACTTTTTGTTGTTTTCATCTCAGGATCAAATCTTGAAGCGATCCACAGATAAATTGAAGGGAGAAAAGAACCTCCTCCCTTTCAATCCAAGCGAGGAGTTTCACTCTCAAAAAATGATCTGAATAAAAGAGGGTAGGGGTTATATTGACCCTATTTACAATAACAGCTTTAATTTGGTGGGTGTGGATCATACGCATTCATTTTCTTGTTTTCTAACCCTGAGCAACTTTTGTTATTTTTCACTTTCAGTTTCTGCATTTGTGCAAAACTTTTGTACTCATTGCGATGGCTCTTCTGTATTTTGTCTCAGAAGAAAATGAGAGAACTAAGATGTTAATTTGCCGTTTTCGTTTACCATAACGAAATGTGCTTCTAAGGAATGGTGCTAATTAAAAAAATCGTGCGCGCTAAAAACCCGTGCAGTTAGACGAGCCATTCATGGAAGAGCTCAATAACCCACGTGCTTGCCTAAGCTTTAAAACGGCGCACTTTTTGAAATCCTCACAAGCTTGCAGAAATTCTACTTCAACGATAATTCTTGTCGCAATTTTAGCCCTTCCACAGTGTTTCTTCTTTGGAACCCTTCTTTTCGTTCCTCGTCTTGTCAAGCTCAAAATCACGTATCATTTCAGGCAACGGACGGAAGCAGGTATGTTTTTCTGCATTTTGTGCAAAACTTTCCTACTCGTTGAGAGGCCCTTCTGTATTTTGTCGTGGAGGAATGTTAGATGGACATGAATGGAGATGTTAATTTGCCGTTTGCTTTTACCACAACAAAATGCGCCTCTAATGTATAGTGCTAATTAGAAAATTCGTGCGCGTTAAAAACCTGTGCAGTCCAGTGTTCTCCTTTTCAGGCAGTAACCGGTAACATTTACCGCCTGTAGTACCTCTTAATACCGTCTAAAATTGCTTGGAATTCTTGAAAATTCAACAAGTAAAAAGACTGCTTTACCGGTTTGAAAATTTATTTTACCTGTAATGCTTAAAATAAGGGAGAACCCTAGCAGTTAGACTAGCCATTCAGGGCAGAGGTCAAGAACTCGCGACCAACGACTTCGACAAAAATTGAAGCTTTGTTAGTTCCCTTTCAGGTTCTGCATTTTTTTCAAAACTCATGTAATCATGGCGAGGCCCTTTTGTTTTTTGTCTTGGAAGAAAAATGAGAGAACCCAGAAATTAATTTGCCGTTTGCGTTTACCATAACAAAATGTGCCTCTAATGAATGGTGCTAATTAGAAAAATCGTGCGCGCTAAAGTCCCGTGCAGTTAGACGAGCCATTCAGGGCAGAGCTCAATAACCCACGTGCACGCATAAGTTTTAAACGGCGCACCTTTTGAAATTATCACAAACTTTGAGAAATTCTACTTCAGTGATCAATTCTTGTCACAATTTTAGCCCTTACAGAGTGTTTTCTACCTTGGAAGCCCTCTTTCGTTTCTCGTTTTGTCAAACTTAACATCACGTATCATTTCTGGCAACCGACAGAAGCAGGTAAGTGTTTATCGACGCTTATATAAACAAGTAAAACTGTGTAAGCTAATTCTAAAAGAAGCTAAGCCATTTGCAAATCCAAGAGGGGCTCTAGGTCGAAGCTTCGTTTTATTAAATCCTTCAATTCTCTCCAGTCGCTTGTATTGCTGCCCAGAAGCTGTCAATTACTTAGCCGTAGAAATTCTATTGCGTAACTTTTTTGGCAAAATCAGCTTTCTTGAAATTCTTCTTTGAAACTGTTGTCGCGCGGAGGACCATTTCTAATTTTTCATCATCTTTGCTGAAATTCCGCGTTAACAATGTGGCGAAATCATGGTTCGTGCTCTTAAATTTTAATTAGTTACAAGTTTAAAGCGAAACTCGGTGTCTTCAGTAATGCATACTAATTTTGATATATCTCTAGCTTGTTCAAAGAAGCATTAGTTTCGAACATTGTGCGTAATATAGAGATGACGATTGAATGAAGGAAATATTTTAATTGTCTTCTCAAGCAGATTCTAACAATTTCCTTTGTCTCAACTCTTAAATTCCAAGATCAGATCGTCAAATTCTCCCTTCAGCTGCCAAACATTTCCTTCCAATTAGTTACAAAAATTTGATATCAGAACAAGATAACATCTAGGAGATAAATTTGAATATTCTCATTTCCTGTTTACTAGATAATCTATAATAATATAGGGAGAAGTTACATGTTAATCACTTCTAAGAGTTCAAGAGTTAACCGCTCGTTATGAAAAGAGAAAAAATTAAGTTCACACTTCTGTTTTCTTTTTCTTTTTAATCGAAACATCTGAATACGGTTTTTACTCAAAGGTTTGTAAATATTCTGAAATTTTAGACAAAAAGCCCCTTTTTCAAAGCAGGTGTTGATTTTTGGGCATTTAAGACAAAAAGCCCTCCTCTTATCACAGTTGTTTTTTATAAATTCAAATCTTGTTTACATGATTGGCTGTTATCTCCGCCATTTGCATAAGATTTCATTTGCCTGTTTGTTTGCCTTTTTTCTGGGCTTGAAATGAAGCGATAACTTGCAAGTGTTTAGATATAATTCTTCAATAAGATTCTCCAAATTACGCAAGGAAAATTAAGGTACGCCTCGATGTTTACTCGGCATGACTCCAGATGAAACTGTTATTTGGCAATTTGAAGAGGATTTCGTTCTCAGATTTTAGTCACTTTTTCGGTAATCTTAAAAACCTAGGAATTACTAACGTTTTATTTCTCGTTACAGTATTACCCCTAATCACAAATTAAGGTCACACACAAGAATAAAGGAAATAATCACCAACAAACGAAGCTCATGATAGTTAAACACTTTCTCCTTAGAAATGTATAGAGAACAGTACTGAGAATAAAAACATTGATGTAAAGCTGTGAAGTGTTTAGGAGTGACTCGAATTAAACAGATCTTTCCAATCTTATTACTCCCGAGGGTAACTCTAAAAAAAGGATCTAAATTTATTACGTGTTGACCGACCAAGTTTTGCAATGTTTCGGTAAAAGTGGTGAACACAAAATCCCTATTCAGTTCTTCTGACATGTGCGATGGTTGCAAACTCCGAATATGATTATTTTGCAATGTTTTCCCTTCCACAATGGACCATGATGTTTTGCCGTATTATCAATTTCACTTAAATATCCACGATATCTTTCTCATTTAGGCTAATACTACATTCTCCAGTCCAAACACCACTCAGCCCATTCCAGTCCAGATAGTCTAGTTCACTTCATTTCAATGGAGTCCAGTTCATTGTGCATTTAGTCTAAAACTCGGCGTCCAGTTCCATGCAGTCCAGTACGGCCCGGTCCAGTCCGCGCCATTCCTTTCCTACTGGTCCAGTTTATCATCACAAGACGAGTGCTGACTCTCGTTACAGGTATAACTCGCTTATGGACGTTAAAGCGTGGTGAAGAAAAGGGCCAACGCTCTATTGGGTTTTTTCTTCTCTTCCTCTCTGTTGCATACGCGGAGGCTAGGAACAGATCAGTTAGAAGACGCTGATGTCCGGCCGGTTAGTAAGATTCTTTGTGGGTTGGGATGAAGAAAGGGTTACTAAATAGTGCGCTGGTTAAACCTTAGAATCCAAATTCTACCAGAAGTTGTCATACTTCTGATTCGGCTCAAAGTAGTTAAAGTAAAAACTTTAGCCAGCTTAGCTAGCGGGTTCCCTTGAGATTGGGCGAGGTCCTCCCTCCAAATTTTTCTTTCAATCGAATACTGTTCGGCATATTTTCGGTTTGGATCATTTCTTCTTCGTCGCTTCTTCGGTTTGTCACAATGTCGGCTTCGTTTATACTTCGGCTCTTCGTCAACAGGTCTTTCGGTGTTAATCAGCTGCTCATGGTTACTTCGACTGTGACCGATTGCATTTTCAGTTTCACTTGATTGAAGAGATCTTAAACACTGTGATCGAGTAAGGCTGTTTAACACAAAAAAAAGGTTTGGCTCGAAGGTTCAGCTAGATTTTAACGTTATTATAGGAGATCATATTTGAGCAATTCAGCTATGACAGCAAATTAGAATTGAGAATTAGCCTTTTACAAAAAAGATTATGCATGTGTTAATGAAAATTGAGATTGTGTTGCTTTCGGAGTTCGGCTTCACTTTCAGTTCGAATTTCACTTCGGCTTTTCGTTCGGCCTTTCGGAACTTGTTCGGATTTTCAGTTCGGAATACAAAGGCAATGGGAAGCGACTGAAAGTTGTTAGCAAGTTGATATATAAAAATAAAAGCACCGTCCGGGACACTATGGGTGTTCAAATTATCGGGATGTC